TCAATTAATACATTGTATTTCCACGCATTCTTAGAATTTCGTGCCATTTCGCTACGTATCACTCGAAAAATTTCCCCTTCTATGAATCACTTCAGATACACATACTACTGTTTCCATAAATTTAGATCTGACAAAATTTTCCCTGCCCGCTACAATCACTTTTGCTTCTCGTTAATTGAACTACATCTGATTCTCATTGAGACGATATAACTAATAATAAGGTTTCATAATGAAGTAACATATCTCAGACGGATTCGAACATACACTGATATTGCTCCGGGCACTCGATAACACGGAGATCGATGAAACACCTGTTAATACATCCACGTTGCGCTCTGATCGGATCCGGATCAAATACGACGATCTGCAAGACTCCAATTTCGATATTCGATCGGTCCTCCGGTTACAACACGACGCTGTAGATTCGCAACTATGTTATCAAACAGTATCACATTCTCGAGATTGTGCTTGTAAATTATGTTGCCTAACAAAAAGAATTCAACTACCGCCTTACAAATGATCAAAAATATCGAGTCAATATCAGTGTATTTTTATTTGTATTAATTCAGATTTGATTTCGAAAAATTCTTTAAACGCAAGAGATTGGAGATTCGTTAAAATCAGAGTATTATGCTTAACATCAAAAGTATTGAGCAGTCATTTTTGATCATACCTATTTTTTAGATTTATATTGTATTTGTTAATGTAAAAGATTCTAAAATTTCTTGACAGTTTAATAATTATGTTCTTTACATTGATAAAATATTTAGTTTTTCATCACTTTCTTTATTTTCATAATAATTTATTTGCTTGATTCTTTTAGCGAATAAGAAACGTTGATATTTTTGATATTAACTTTTAGAAAATTATTGATCTGAACTATCAAATGACTATTTTCTTAATGATATCATAGTGAAGTAATACGTGACATAGATATTTAAAATAAACTTAATTGAACCTTGTTCGACGAAATAATTTTTACCATGATATCGATAATTGTGATAACGCAAACAATCGCGCTACATGTCCTGTCGCCCTAAGTGACGTTAGAACTGTGGTGTTTTCGATTAAACCGAGCGCAATTAATTCATTTTTGAGTGCAAATGTATTATATGATGCAGTGCTTGGAGAAGTCTAGCTGCAGATAAGATAACAAAATGATAACAAAATTGGAGATCTCTTTCAAGTTACAAGGATATTATTATTACGCTTTTAGTTTTTAAACGACATTTGCTCTTGCAACAAAACATGCAACAAAAACTGAAGTCAATGTCGAAATCCTTCTGCATGATTCATTGGTTCAACGCTCTATTTACTTCAAGGTTTTTGACTTGATTAATCTCCCACCCTTTTTAAATAAAGCAAAATGATTAAAATCTCAAAAATTTCGATAAATCGGGTACACTTTATCGAATATTTTAAACTTCCGGTTCCGGAAATGGACTATCCAGACAAAATGTTGAATTTTTTAAATATGTACTTTTTATTGCAGATTCGGATTACATATGAAAATAAGAAACATTTATTTTAAATATTTCTTCTGGAAGTGCTTTCATTGATCTTAAAATAATCTTGAAACTAAATAAAAAATTAAACTCTGTTGTGATAAAAAATTCAACATCCGGTCTAGAAACACCTCATTTCCGGTCGGAACCGAAAGTTGAAAATATCATTATTCGAACGTATCTGATTTATTTATTAAAATTTTTGTTATAAAAATTATTTCTCTTCATTTTAAAAAGGATGAACAAGTCTGGGACATTCTATATAGAAACATTCTATAGAAACATTTGCCTCTTAAATTTTAATTCAAATAAAAAAATATTCATAGATATAAAGATGAGTATCTCACTCACCTTTTCTGTGAAGAACGATTTTGTGCCTTGATATCTCCAGCATCGATCCTCTCTGCAAGTAAATTTAATTAAACAATATAATGTCACTTAATAATACTTGTGCGCGAAAGAATATTAGTGATTCAAAACAAAATTTCAGAGAGTATTGGAATAATATTTTTTATTTAAATTAAGCAATGTATTTGAATTAAAAAAAAAACGAGTATTAATATTAAAATTGTAGAAAAACTAAATTGACTGAAGACTTTTATCATGTTAAAGATAATAAATTTTTAGATCGTTCATGCATGATAACGATCGCATATAAAACTCAATGATTTGACGAGCAAAAATGCAAATGCTAAATTTGCATCACGGAATGTTAATTTTAAAGATCAAATGTTTTAAAAGTTACAAGATTAATAATAAAGGAAAATTATAACGGAATATTCTAAGAGGAACATTTATTGTCAATGTACTTAATTTCTTTGCTAATAAAACAAACAAATTTTTATGCAAATGATAGAATTTGTTTTCTTTGTTATCACAAGCTAAGAGTTTTAAGACACGAGACAAAGGTTTGGATCGTTTACTCATATTTAAAAGTAGACATTATCTTCAATTGTTTAACGCGCTAAACGATTCATATATATCTTGAACTACTGACCCTGTTCTTGTTGTTGCTGCATTGAATTGCAATGGGAGTTTTAAAAAAAAAAACATATCAACACAGAAGTCATTTTGTCTTTGTTCAATATTCGATGAAAGAAAAAAAACAGAATATCTTCTGTATTGATACGTATCTCTCACGTTCAGAAACCGAATGCACCCAGATATCACTTTATCCTTGTGGTTCTGAATGTTAAACAAATGATAAAATGATAGATGCAGCTGGATGAAATTTCTGAACATAGCCTTGGAAAGCTCCCACTAAGGTTCGTTTTCACAATATGTGGTTACGTAAAGATTAAAAGTTACCAATAGATTCATCAATGAAATTCATTCATAAATTTCTTGATAACCTTTAATCTTTAGGTAACTATATATTGCTATATATTGAAAATGGGACTAAAACTTTCTATCTTTCGCCAAACTTCAAATATGCATCTTTTTTATTTTAAATATGAGTGTACATTAGTTTAACTACAAAGAAACAAACCTATCATTGAAGAACTGAATAGCTTTCTGTATCATGAAATATTTTTCTATAATTTAGAATTTTCTTTTGTTTAAGAATATCTACCAATAGTGAAATAGAATCAATTGCACTGCGTTAATATATATTAAAAACTCCTATACAAAAAGTTCTTTAATAATAGTGTCACATTTTTAACAGAATTTGTCTTACCTTATTCTTTGTGAATGAACTTAGGGTGTGTTCCACTTGATGCTCAGCAAGCATCATCTTCGTTTAATATTTGATAAACAACAAGGATAAAATAATTTCAGATAAACATTGCGACAGTATATTGTTATATTTAAAGTGAAAAAGCAAATATATTTAAAGTTTGGCGAAAGTAAAATAGAAAGTTTACTGTAGTCCATGGATATGTTCAGATTCCTACTCTACTGCCACCAGATATCATTTTATTCTTGTTATTTACTGAATATTAAACAAGAATAAAATAATATCTGGGGAGTACTTGAGTGAGAATAAATGCATTCCATTGCAATGACCAAACATTGTAGTGACAGACCTTATACATTACGTGCTTATATTAGGCTACTTTTAGAGACACCAAATGTCTCTAAGTATCATTTTATTCTTATTTAACATTAAACATCAAGAATAAAATGATACTTGAAATGATGTTTTTTAATAGTCTTATTTTTAAACTTGAACACTTTTATACATTAATTTAGTGCTTGATCATAGCTAGAAAAACATCACAGCTAGCAAAACAATACAACTTTTATATTATCAGGTTATCACTTTTACATTAAGAGGTTAAGTCTAAATCACAAGTTAATCAGATAATAAAAAATCGGACCTTAGAGAATTGGAAAACTATCTGGGAGAATAATAATAAGAGAGGTGATTTCTGAAATCCAGAGAGAGGCGGTTCGACGTACCATCATCTGTATCTATGGGGTCACTGTCTGAATCTAGGGTTTGACACTCCACCGATTCCACTCTCTTCATCGCCATTCTCTTTTATAACTAGACGCAGCTCGGATGTGTTAAAGCGAATCATGCCAATCTACCGCCTCAGCATCTCCACGCGTACATTGACGAGGATCCGCGTGCGATATATAAGAGAACACACACAACGCGGACAGGTGTTTCTCGGTTCACTGTTCGCTGCTAAGATTACTCGCGCGAGGTTTCTAACCCTAAACGTTCGCCACACGGAAGAATCTCTTCGGAAGCGGAATGAGCGCGTTGTATGCTGAGCGTGAGGATGACTATCTCGTATCAACGGGCGAGAACAGAACGGTCGCGTGGATTAATCGGCTGCGCGGATAGAGGAACAGTGACGGTGACGCGATGAACGGAGATACGAACAAGGTAGAACAAGACGGCAACTTTAGACGCGCGATGTGACGCGAGGCGACGACGCACGACGGCACCACAGTATATGTGACGGCACGATGACCGACCACCGATGACGCGACGTGCGCATGAGTGCACACGCGCGCAAGAAAAATGCACACGTGACGCACGATGCAAGCAACGGAGCACAGTATGTGATGCGAGCTTTTCAGTAATCCCTACATTTCCAGCTGACTGTTTGAAGTAAATTGACAGGTCAGACAGCTGACCGCTGTCCTCGGATTATACGCTTAAAGGATTTTAAACGTTAAAGATTATATAGTATAACAATTTGTTGCAAAGACGGGAAGAATAATGTAATACGAGAGTAATAAAAGCGAATTAATAGTCTAGATATATAAATTAATTAATGTGCGAGATATGGAAGAATGTATTAAAAAATATAGGATAATTAAGAAATAAATATTAAATATTGGAAAAATAAAAGAATTATAAGAACACAGTATTATTTCATTATCATGAAAATTTAATTATTATTCGAACTTAGAGAATTGCTCGTTTTACATCAGTAAAAATTATGAATTTTAATCTTAATTTAACAATTATTCGAATGCAACAAAAGTTGCACTTTATTTTATTGATATCTATTTCTTTTTTTCTCCTTCATATATTTTTCACAAGCAAGACAACGTTATTTATCAATTATCGATGGAAGATCGAATATTTCCTCATAAAGATACATATTTACTTGCGTTCATCGATGTATATTAAGGTGAAAGAAAGAGGAGAGATATATATTCTCGCGTGTTAGTGAGGTTAGTTTAGTTCTCGCGCGACATAAGTGTGGTTGTGACTATTGTAAGGTTAATTCCTCGCTCATGAGGGATCATCCGTTTGACGACCGCCACGAAGTTACATTATACGTTGACAAGTTCTGGCAAGTTCGGCAAACGATACCACGTGCAAATCTGCAAGTGGTCGCGAACATGATTTTTTACTTCTTAATGTAAGAGATATCGCTTGTTAGCAATCTTCGTTAATGCAATCTTCTGCATGGTGTGTAATTGTAATAGCGTTAAGAATTTTTTGACTAATTATTCGTTTTTTTTTTATTGTACCTTATTGAAAATAGACTCTTATTCGATGTGAAGAATTTTGCGCTTAGTTTCAAAATTTATATTGATTTAATTAGTTTCAAATTATATTTGTAAAAGCCTTGTATGTTTTATATTAATTAATTTTTTTGCAACTATTTGTAATTTTGTCGTCTATTTTTTATTCATTGTTATCTTAGAATAATTAAATTTTTATCTCTCGTTACATGAAATTATTTGTTTTAAGGAATGAATGACTATTCTCAATTGCAACATTTGTACCGACTGCCATATAATTTAACCAGCTTTATATTATATTTGTAAAAGTCTTGCTTATGTAGTGATATTCTATAATATCGAGCAAGAAATTGTATCTTTATGATCTTTATGATCTTATGATAAAGTATATCTATCGATAAATATGTCTATTATATATTTAATTCAACTTTATCTTTATAGGACACCCATAATCCTATTCGTAAACATGCTGTTGTTAATCGCTCTATGTAAAATATTCTGTATACTTGTCCTTTTGCCAATTCTATTGATAAAATGGAGAAAGTTTTACTCAAAGAAGCGCGAGGAGAGACAACAGACTGGAACAGTTGTCGGTATTTTTCATCCATACTGCAATGCAGGTGGAGGAGGCGAGAGAGTACTTTGGGCTGCGGTTCATGCTATACAGACCAAGTATGTGCCAAAGTAACATTTTTGTAAAATTCATATTAGGATGTTTGATATCAAAAATACTTATGATCTGTTCATCAAAGCTGAGATTTGTTGCACTGTTATTCACATAGATGCTTATCATTTGGTGACACAAATCGAAACAAGTATCATTCTATGTTATTCACTGAATGTCAAGAAAGATAGAATGATGTCAACTAGAAATTTAACCAAATGGAAACCCACTGTATTTTTTATTTTATATATTGAACACTTCCAGATATCCTGATATACACATAGTTATATATACTGGCGATCTTGATGCAGACCCTGAAAAGATTCTCAGCCAAACTGAAAAGACATTTAACATGAAATTGCAACCAAATATCGAATTCGTCTATTTGCATGGGCGAAAATGGGTGGAGGCTTCTACATATCCTTATTTCACACTTCTGGGACAAAGCTTGGGATCCGTCTATCTGGGCATCGAAGCGTTAAACAATCTTACACCAGGTGATGAATAGGTTGTTTAACTTGTAACTAGAACATATAGATTCTGGTGACTTTGGGACATTTTCTTAATTTTTAAATAGTATAATGGTTTGGAATAATTTTATTTTTCGTTCTTTTGTTGTATTCGTGTAGACTAATTATTGTATTATATTTATACTAAGTTCAAATGTTCCAATTCTTAAAGAAAATAAATAACAGGAAACTTCAATGAGTTCCAAAGATTCACATGTTCCTCACAAAAAAATGTATTCTTGTTATGGTTTAAATATATTTGTACTATTTTTTATAATTTCTATTGACAAAAATACATAAAAGTAGATACAAATAATACATAATTATACAATACTTGTACAAATCGCAGACATATACATCGACACGATGGGTTACGCGTTTACATATCCATTATTTAAATACATCGGTGGTTGCCTAGTCGGATCATATACGCATTATCCCACTATTTCGACTGATATGTTGAAGTACGTCTACAGGAGAATTGCCGCATACAACAATCGAAGGATCATCGCCAGAAATCCATTGCTTTCAGGAGGGAAATTCCTTTATTATAAATTATTCGCATATGTAAGTATACAAATTCGAATAATTGTTTTGTGAGGAAAAAGTAAACGAGTTTTTTTAAACAGTTATTCCACAATAGAACATTTCAGTTGTACGGATTGGTTGGTAGTTGCGCCGACATTGTGATTGTAAATTCCTCGTGGACCGAAGAGCATATCAATACTATCTGGAAATGTTCACTGAAGACGCATCGAGTGTATCCCCCATGTAGTGTGGAGCATCTGATTGGACTGCCACTTCTCAGCGATGAGGAAAAGAATAAATGCATACGCATAATTGCTATCGCGCAATTCAGGCCGGAGAAAAATCATCCACTCATGTTGAGGGCGATGTTCGAGCTAAGATCTATTCTTAAGGAGGAAGTCTGGGAAAAGGTGAGCTGATAATTTATCTCAATAGCCTCCAGATGTATTCTCTAAACTTGTTTGTGCTATTTAGGTCAAGTTAGTCTGTATTGGTTCCTGTCGAGACGCCGAGGATGAAAGACGTGTTAAGGATATGCAAGATTTGGCTAAACACTTGGCTTTAGACAAAAACGTCGAGTTCAAGTTGAATGTACCATACTCGGAACTTGTGTCCGAGATACAAAAAGGAACGATTGGTCTACATACAATGTGGAATGAACATTTTGGTATCGGCATCGTGGAGTGCATGGCGGCGGGATTAATTATGGTGGCTCATTCTTCTGGTGGTCCGAGGTACTTGACTCAGTATTTGTGATCGCACTGTCAAGCGCGGTACAACTTTGTCGTGACCGCAGGTTCGCGACAACCTTTCTCTTAAGCGACATCTACAATGAGATTTTAAGGCGTAAAATTTAAGCTTTGAGATTTTACGGCATAAAACTTAAGCTTCAAGCCATAAATTGATCAATCATAATCAATAATTTTCCTCATATCCTTCGATTGTGATTTGTCAATTTTTTACTTGAAGCTTACATTGTTGCTTTAATGCTTAAACATTAATAACAAACCAGAATTGAATGTCAGACATATAAGACTCATTTGTTAAAATTACTAATTGATTATAATTTCTATTTAATTCAATAAAATTGCGTTCACGAAAGCCGACAGCTCAGCCATGGAATTGGCTTGTAAAATTTTCTAATAAAAAGTACTTAAAAAAATATTCGAATTTTAGAGCAGACATCATAGAAACACGAATGGGTAGTGTAAATGGTTTTTTAGCAGAAGATGAGATGGAATATGCCAAAGTAATAGCGTCCATCATACAAATGCCTCCAAAGGTTCGAAATGCTATCAGAATTGCAGCCAGGTAAGATCAAGAATATTTTATAATTCTTTAATATTATGAAATAAGGATTTTTTTATATATCGATTTTTCGGTTTTTTAGGTCATCTGTAAATCGTTTCTCATGTGAAATCTTCGAGAAGGAGTTCCTACGGGCAATTGAACCGTTTTTTAGATCGAAACAAGAATAATGTTGTTGCCTTACAATTCCTCTAAAATCATAAATGACGAATGTGTGTGTAAATGACTCATTTCAAAATCAGAACGCACTTTCAGTACATGTTACATTATTCTGTATGTATAGTAGCGTGTGTATGTAACAAAAATGTTTTTTATGCGAGATAAGCTTGTAATCATTTAAAAACTTTTTGCTTGATTGTGTTAATTTTAGGATACAGTACATTAAACAAATAATCATGATTTAACACACAGAAAACCATAGCACACTGTATATATAATGATGTTTGTTAATGAACTGTATTACTTAAAACGACTTCAACGTTCTTACAAAATTTTCTTGAAAATATGTGTGAATGTGAATATCGACATTGCAATTTACTTAATGATAACAAATATGAAAGCCAATTGATCGACATAATACTTACGTCGAAACATGTTAAACACGTGTGCAAATATAAATATAAAACATCATATGTTCATTGTTTAACCATATTATCATTAATCAATCCACATCCCTGACATTCCAAGATGTAAGACGAAGTGTCCCCATCTTCGGCACTTTTTGATAAGTTGAAGCGAAGTCCGCGTTTACCCAACATTATCTCTGCAACCTGCATAGCAGTTTCCGTGTGACAAGTGAGCTTCTTATCTCCAACTTTGATCTGCGAAGTACCTTTCGCCAGTGCCATTAAAATTATCATCTGCAATAAATAACGCATTAATTTGATTAATTTGAAAAAGTTAAGGTATCTCTTCAAACTAGCTACGCTTACCTGATCCTGCGTGTGTTCGTCAACACACGCTCCTGCCAAAAATGGCTTTAAAATCTCGTTAGCTGCTATTTCACCTGCCGGCGATCCTTCTTGTCTTCCGGAACCTAATCCGGAACCGCCGAGAACGCATCCCGTGCTGGTGTTACACACTATACTAATATTAATTTTATTTTTACATTTCTGTTATCAATTTTTTTATCTGTATCTAATGAAATAAAAGACCTTCTTTTAACTGAATTTTTTGCATAATTTATCTTTGTTTTTTTTCTTTTCATGTTGAAGGAAAAAAAAGAAAAAAATAGTTCAGCAAGAAGTTCAACTAAAAAGAACAAATCTTAGAAAAAAAAATTTTAATATAATAGTTTCTTACTTAATTCCAGAGCCGTTTCCAACAGCCATTGCTCTGTCTTCCCTGTAAGCTTCGATCGTAATTGGTGGTACTCGAATATTACTTTTCACTAATTTATTTGTTAAAATTGCTTTGGCATCATTGGCCATTGTATGCGCCTCCTATGAAACATATACTATAATTAATTCAAAATTTACTAGGAGAATTCATTTGTAGGTTTAATCGAAGTGATACATACATTTATGTGAACTGATCCAGCCACATAAGACCATCCTGTTATTCCCCGAGGATTCCCCAGATCAATTAAGGTAACCGCGTTTAAGCTATTGATCGGTTTTATGCGTAAATGAACCTCGCCTCCTCCCTTCGGATAATATCCCCTCCATTTATCATTAATTTTAGTATAAATAGAATATAGCCGTAAATTTAATATCAGGTACAATAAATTGAGTGCATATACCTCTTCACAACTACGAAATCAAAATCTGCTCCGAATTTGTTCAGCAATGGTTTGAACACTTCTGTAAGATATTCTATGTGTGGCCCCATAGGAACGTTCGTTCCACCCTTAAAGATGAGCGTGATCGTATCATTACATGGAAAGAAGAGAGCACATGGCAGTGCTACTTGCGCCAATAAGCAAATGCATCCAGCAGTTTTCGTGTCCGCTACAAACGTTTTCTTGATTTTGTTTAATGGACCCGGACGAAATTCCAAACGTGTCGATCCTATGTATCCACCTCTGACTTGGGCATTACACATCTCCTTAACAAGTTCTACACCTATAATAACAAAATTTCTCCTTAACAAGTTCCATACCTATAATAACAGAATTTTTCACCTCACACAATCGAATATAAAACATTGAATTCTGTTTTTGGATTACCTTTCAAATGTTGTGCCGCGAGACCAGGCTTGGGCCTTCCAGCACGTATATTCTCGATTTCAATGGGAATACCATAGAGCGTGCTCAAGCTGAGAGCAATTCGTAACACTTGTCCACCCTTCAAAGAAGAATTAAGATTATTGTGTATTATAGATATCATATTTTTTTTAAGAGGCAATAATTTATAAAATGTGAAAAGGAGAAAAGAGAGTAAAAAATGTAGCTGTCACAACATAGAAAGATAAATTAAATACTATAAGAGTGCTTCAAAGGACAAGACATATTGTAATGTTAAACAATCCAAAAGACATATAGATAATAAAATTATACTTCAGAGCACTGCTCGCTCTTTATAAGATATATTAGATATAACATATCTATTATGTTAAAAAGAGAAAATGAAAGATGTAGCTGTCAATATTGACAGATGCAACACAGATACTATAAAAAATATTTCAGAAGACATATTATAACATTAAACAAATTTAAATGATACATAGAATAAAATATTTTGTAGTATTGCTTGTTATCTAAAATATAAATACATCTATAATAAGAGAGAGAGACAGTGAAAGATGCAGCTGTTGCAATTGATGTTCAATTGACAGATGTAACATAAATATTATATGAAATATTTCAGAAGACAAGATATATCATAATATTAAATCCAAGACGTATAAATAATAAAATACTTTGAAGCTACCACTTCTTTTTTTCAAGATAAAAACATGTGTATTATATTTAAAATAGTACATGTGTTTAATTTTAAGGAAAATGATATTTAGAGGATTTTCTATTTCATATATACTTACACCCTCACCCAAACTGCCGTCTATCTGCACGAGGGACGACATAATGCGATTCCTGAGTCTTCTAAGCACTACGATCGCGTCAAAGGGAAACGTCTGTTCCCGGCGTCACGCCGGTTCCGCGTTTATTTTCGGCTCACTGCGAATTTCTGGGGAAAACAAAGCTGTACGTAAGCTGTTGTAAGCGCTCGTTTAGGGAGACACTTACATCTAACTATAGAATGAATCCTGTTTGCTCATAAAGCCCGTCGGGACAGACAGTCCTTCTTGCGCCAACAAAGAAGAGAGGTCTAATAGTTTTCAAATCCGATGTGTCCCTCTCAAGAAAAATTAATCTACTGAATAATCTAATTGTTCTGCAAAATTCCGAAAAGGCGCAATTTTCACGTCAGAGAATCTTTTTTATATATTATAAAAGCGATATATCATGTTATTTTTTTTTCTGGTACGTATTGTCAACATTGGAATGACAATCGCGGATAAATAAATTACATCCCCTGTCTAACACCATCTTGACGTATGAGTCCTTATAACAATGCTGAGCAATGCTCCGAATGTAGCGTGAAATCAATATATATAAAATATATAAAATGTTATCTACGGAGAATCGAGAAATGCGGCAATGTAGTTCAATGTAGACCTTTCATAAACATAGAGAACTCCACCTTCGAATTAGGAGGCCTTGAAGGTCGCCTTGAAGAAAGTGACTGAATGTTCTCTCTCTCTCTTTCTTTCTCTCTTTCTCTCTCTTGCTGATTCCTATTTTTCACTCTCATAAATACGAAGTAAGCGATAGTACTTAGCTGACAAAATCTCTCTCTCTCTCTCTCTCTCTCTCTCTCTTTCTCTCTTTAGCTTCTGTTATTGTCTTCTCTCTCTCCTTTTGTTTGTGTCTTCCTTCTCTGATCTTTCTCTGACTTTTCCTTCATTAACTTTCTTCTCTCTTTCTAATTTCTCTTTTTTCTCTTTTTCTCCTTGTTACCCTTTCTCTCTCTCTCTCTCTCTCTCTCTCTCTCTCTCTCTGATTTCTCTTTCTTTTTCTGTGACTTCTCTCTTTAGTCGACTCTTTCTTTCCCTGACTTTTCTCTCATTAATTTCCTCCTCTCTTTCTAATCTCTTTATTTTCTCTCTCTCTCTCTCTCTCTCTCTCTCCCTTTCCCACTATTTCTGTGCTCTGGCGTGAGAAGGTGACAGTGGCGCCGTTTGACAAGCGCAACTAGTAACCGAACTGAAGCGAGCTCCGTATTCTCTCCTTGCTTGGACCCTTCTGTCCTTCTACGTGAAGTGTGACGAGGTTAAAACAGCTGTTCTGCTGGATGGTCGCGTTGACAGGAACGACGATCAAGCGGATGAGAGATCTATCGGAAATCCAGGCACTTAAATGATATCGCGAATATTCCGTGGGGAAATCGAGAATATCGCGGTCAAACGCAAACGGCAAATCGACACTCTGAAAATCTTTAACGACAAGTAAGGGTGAATTCTCGTCGTCGTTGCAGGAGCTCTTCCTCTTCTCTCCCCTTCCCTTCCCCTCTCACCCATTGACGTCGTAACCTCTCTTATTAACCTCACTTGAACCACATTATCGTCGATATTATGCTCGATGTTGCCCTACGAATGGCTACCTATATCGCGAAAACAATCAGATTGCTCGTTTATTCTCGTAGCGCTGTGCTTTCCCGACGCAATCGGAAATGGTGACGAGTTCCTCCCATTTATTATGACGAGCGATCGTTTCCAAGATTTTTTTTCCTGGAAATGGCATTTGCGTCATTGTCTTACATCTCGCAAATGACGTTTTAAATGAATATTTGTAACGGGTGTAAGACAACTGAGCTAATAACATTAAGATTAATGCTGGCTCAAGGTCACAGTTAGTCTTGTAGACTTCGTCAGTATCTTTATTGGCCGCAAATGTCTGCGGGAAGTATAATGCAATAAATGTCTTGCAGTGTAATAGAACTCAGAGAAAATGTGGACTATCAGGTGGAATTTCAAGCTGGCGAAAGACGAATGGCTATTATGGTTTCTCTGTCGTCGAATTTTCCATTGGAGAAGCCAGTACTTAGAGTTTCCCCACCGATAAACCATCCCTGGTGTAATGAGCATAGTGAAATTACCAGTGCGCCAGGATTACTCAATGTAAGCAGAGAAATTTATATAGAAAACTTATGATACAGAAATATATATATATATGTGTATGTATATATA